ACTATAACATTGTAATAAAGTATGGTCAAATGTTTATCCTCTTTACTGGGGTTTTGGTACCCATATGACGTGATTATTGAACCGCATCAGATTCAGGCCAATAGCTAGAATTTTCCCCCCTAAATATTTCAGACCAGTTAAGAAAATTTCTAGAAATCAATTATTTATTTTATAAAGACTGCATGGCATAAACATGAATATAAGAATATTCAGTTCAGTTTATAAATATATCACCAATTTACAACTTTTCTCATCTCAAGGAACTTCACAGACACAAAACAATCAAATCATACAGACTGGTTAAAAGTATTGTGTCTAAGGAAAACCAGCTGAATGCGTCAAGTCATTGGATTTACAGGATTCATTCCTCCTGGATGAATATGCAGTGACAGCACACATTAATTTCAGTCTTCAGAGACTGGGCTTGGTCTTACCTCTCAAAATACTTTTACTTAAGGTTAGCTTTGGGGAAAAAAGAAGACCTGTAAACATCTTAATGTAGTCATGTTAGATTTAAAAATCAAAGTGGGGCAAAACATCTAAAGTTCAAGTCAGAATTAGGGATACAGGGAATTTATAAGGGTTTTCCTACTTCAGTTAAAATACTCTCTGCTCTTTAGGTTTTTCAAGCAACATAAACTACATTTATCACAGACACTGTACAGGATGCAAAAAATAGAGGTAAGCTTCGGTATCTTCATTATCAGAAACATGTCCACAATCAATGTTGTTTTGATCTGTATATTTTTCAGTGCATATCATAACAAGGAGCACATTTCCAAGCATTGTTTATAATTAAAGATAATAAAGATAAAATTAAATATAAAACATGAGATTCTTTATTGACTTTTAGTTTCACAGCTTATATGTAATTGCTTCGGTCTCCAGAAACACAGGTAGCAAAGGCAGGTATGTGTGAGTACCTATGTAGGGGTCTGTTGCCGTAATGGAAAAACAGGTAAAAGGGATTCTGTCCCTGGAGATTCCCACCTCCTCTCCCAAGGACACACACACAGTGATAATGGCAGCAAAGGGGGTTTACAAGGGGTAGTGGGTAAGTAAAGGTTTTTTTTCTCTGCAAGGGTTGTGTGGTATTTGTGTATCAAAGCCTCTTCTGTCTGAAAACGTCTTTCAGTGTAAAAGGAGAGTTGACTGAGCAGGCGAAGAAGCTTTTTAAAGCAGCACAGCTTCATTCAGCCAATGCAGCAGCTTTGAAACACTGTAAGGTCAGATTTACATGTTTATAGAGCTTCCATCCATTAATCAGTCCATCCATGCTTTCATCCATCCATTTCTTGATCCTCTGTCTGTCTGGGGATGTCCCACAGGAGGACGGATGTTGGTTGAACAGAGGATGACTGTAGGGAACATTTCTCACTCGAAACCTGGTTTTCAGTTAAATAATTACTATGATACTGAGCTTGTTCAAAGCATAGCATGGAAAGCAGAAAACAATTTACTGAAGACTAGATTTACCCCAAATAGAAACACAAAAATAGCAATCATATTCAATATTTACATTTCATTTGTTGCTGTGGATTTCCACTGAGCTTTATGAATTTCAGCTCTGCAGTTACTGCATAATCTTGACTAGTGTGCTCTTCCCTAATGTTACGTTTACTTTTGGCTTTTTTTTGTTGTTGTTGTTTTCTGTTTTTGTTTGAAACTAGGCAACTTGAGTAAAGTACATTTTCTTTTCTTTAAATACGGTAATCTTCAAAGTTTGACATACATTTTGGGAAAAAATGCACTTTCTTTAATTTCCCTTTACAAGTAGAAATGTAGGCTATTTTTTATTGAATATCATTTATGCACCTCCTATTTTTCTACACCTTACCCCAAATCAATATGGATAGATTTAATTCCAAAAATGTACCTAAAATATTTTTTTGCACAGTATTTGTAAATAAATCCCCCAAAAACCTTTTTCAAGATATGCCTACTATTACCAACAAATTGGCATCAGATATGTCTTGATTCTACTGATGACTCTTTAGATATTATTGTGATTTGATTAGTGTCAATCTGTGTTATATACAGTATTTTGATATTATTTTTAACAAAATAAAACGTCTGTGATAATAAATAATGCTTATTAGAAGAAGAAAGGTAAAGAAGTCAAAGTGACTGTCTGTAGACCTCCAAGAATAGCTATTATTCAGGCAAATATGAAGAAGGACACAGAAAACTTTTTATTTCCATTACTAATTTGATCTGGATCCTTAACTAGTAAAAGTTTGACTAAATATTGTAATGATTCCTGTCTAATTCTGCCTGTGAAGCTGCTGTGTGCAGTCCCATGACATCATTCCCTGCTCCCTGTGCTGCACTGGCAACCAGGCAATTCGGAGCTCTGTCCCTCTGAAAAGACAAAATTAAATGTAGGGTAATTCTTGATAAACAGGTGAAAAAATTAAAGGTATTAAAATGACGTTTGTGCACCCTCCTTCAGTTAGTGTCATTGCTGCTGGAAAAGAGCACTGATATCTTGCTGAAATGAAATATCCTGCTGGAAAGTTGAAAGGTCATCCAGCTCTGGAGGGACCAAATCCCCAGGAATGTAAAAATTACCTAGGAAAAATATGTATTTAAGCTCAGGCCAATGGAAACAGGCCTAA